AAACATAGGAAAATTATTGAATTCGCACAGAGAGAACCTAGAAAATTCAACTGCAAATACCTGTTGCAATGCAATAACGAATTTCGTAAGAAATCGATAGACCCTTATGCTTCAAGTTTTAATGATGTAAACAGTGGCACAAACTTGTATGAGTAGGTCGTTAATGTGCCCTTTTATACTGAAATAATAAATTAAATTTATGGTTTGGTGGTAAGATGAGCCCTCGAAATTCCTTGACACAGATTCCTTATACTGTCAGGGGCGTACTGTGACATTTTAAGTGAGGGTAGCAATTCTTAAAACCGTATTTATCCTATTTTTAATGGAATTCGATTCTTCGATCAGCTATTGCAAATTCGTCAATAACGTTATCATAAAGACGTGGGTGATCCGATAGGTTTTGAAAAAGTTTGTTTTTAATCGACAACAACAATATTTGCGATATTCACAGCGTTTTTGATATTAACAAATATATTTTTTCCTATTCAACAATTTCATTTTAGAAAAATATGTTCTGTATTTCTTTAGGGGAGCACTCACTGCTTTCCTTGCTTCCAAGGACTGCATGCTCCGCTCCTGCATACTGCAGATACTCCAATGACGTAATTAAGCTAAAGAAGATTGTGAAACCAATAGCGTTACCTGCTAACTACATACAATCTAGGATCAGAGCTACCTGAATAAAAGTATTGTACAAAACAAAAAGGTTACCAATGAATCCGACTCAAACTCAGATGAAAGTTGGATGTGGTAATGTGAATTAGAAATATTAATGCGAATTAAAAGTACCTATAACTCAAACAGCTGTGTTACTGAGTGGTAAGTAGATACCTAACTTCAATTTTATAAAATTATGCCCTGCTGAGAAATGTAAATTCAAAAATTGTTCTAGAATCGAGTCCGATGCTAGCCTAATCGGAGCGCCATTTTTAAAAGTCCACCGCTAACAAAATATTTTTCTTTGAACAGCACCTCGCATATTTGATTTTCTATTGAAATAAACAAAAATCAAATTACTATTTGTGCTGACGTATCTGTCATAAGCAGCATGTTAAATTTTTGGCATGCCGATATTTGATTTTCGGGTGCAGCTTTTCTGTTAAAGGCAATTTAACGCTCGGTAATGATCTGTTAATTTTACGGCATAACAACTCCCGTTCGGCATTTGAGTAGTTATTACCACTATTAACCGTTTTAGCTTTTGGTTTACAAATAGGTTTAAAAATAACTTTTCGCGGTAGATTAATTAATCTTTTGGCTCACGAAATAAAATGCATTTAAAGCCAGCCCTCTCAGGGTTACTTCCTATCCTTTATCAAAGTCGTGTCTCACATTGAATTAAAACCATATACTGCCTGGGGAAGGAAACTTTTACTACAGGAAGTTTTCCTTTTGAGCGTGCCTAAAGTTTCTGTTTGTAGTGCAACGATGGAAGCCTAGCCCACGAATTTAAGTCGAAAAAGTTTGCACTTTATACCTAGTTTGTTATATATTAGATGAAGCATGTAACTTTGGTGCGGAATCAGAATCAGTGGCGTAGCCAGCCTTGCGGGGCGGAGGGGGCAAACACATGAGGGGCGCATAATTCTTTGGGGTGGAAGGGGGGAAAGAAGATAACAAATGGATGCTTGTATGCTTTTGTAATATTTGCTTATTGGGGGAAAATATTAAAGAGGAATAGGGACAGAACGGGCGCCGCCGGAGGCGAAAAATTTCCTTGGGAGCTACGCCCAAAAAAGTTTATTTCCTTCAAAAACCTTTCATGCTGTTAACTTCAAAAAATCCTTCCGGGCGTCTCCGGACGCCTTGAAAACTAGAACAAATCCGTGGAAATCCGGACGGATGACAGCCCCATCATCCAACCCATTAACCCATAGTTCAATAAATAAATACTATATCAATCATCAAAACAGAAACTATCTCCTTTCCTTTGATAGAACTGAACCATTTACCGACAATGCTGCCTTACGATAAAGAATAAAGGGTGAAGAGGTCAATAAGATAAATAAGAAACAGCATAATTTCATAATTTCTTATTTTTTGCTTTTGTTTTTTAAGAGCGGTAGGGGCGCCATAAGTGTAGGGGCGGGGGGGCCGTCGCCCCCCCTGCCCCCCTACTGGCTACGCCACTGATCAGAATCGGTACATATACCTACTCAAAATAAGACGACATGCATTTGTAGGGATTTTGAATAGTTTCAGAACTTTATGCATGAGTATTATAGATGCCTATTGGCATATTCTCAAATAGTTTCTTCTATAGCTTTAAGGTATTCACTCATTTCCCTTGTATTTTGATAGTTTTTTTTTATTATTGTGGCATGTTTTCTCTGAAATCATTTTTTTTGCCTTTCTCAATTGAAAACTGACCCTACTCCCGTGATTAATCTGAAACTTTTACTTCTTTGGATTTTTTTTTTTTCGCTCTTTGCCTTAATGAATACGATGGAAAGCTTGATGCTAAAAATCACCGTTTGAGCTAGAATTCCAAGCCCCGAGATAAGACAAAATACAAGAGTACGAGTTGCTGTGACAGCCATTCTGTGTGTAAAGTGGAACTCGGTGGAAGATGTCGCCAGAATGGAGTATAACAGATGGAACGAGGAACATCATATCATGACATATACGCTGTTGATGAGATTATTCCAGGATTATCTTAGGCTGCGAATCAGTATCAACCACGGATGCGTCGTTGACATTGTAAAATTATTGGCTTGATATTGATGGTTGGGAGTCCCATCCTGATGCCTGCTGATGGCGCTAGATGTCGACGACTCAAACAGTCATTAGAAATGAGACAAGTCTCGGTAGCTCAGTTGGTAGAGCACTGCACTCCCAAGTAACATTTTAAATGCTTTTTGGCATTATCTAGGTTATATGAAAGCTTTAGGAATGTAAAATTAGAAGCTTACTATTTTAAAACTATTGTGTTTTATTGAAGAGCTGTAACAACATTGTAATCACTTAATATTACAGCCTATTAGCATTAAAAACGCAAATAGTTTTAAAGTAGCCGTAATAATGCTGCAAACATTTCTAGCTTAAAGCTATTTTACTTTAAAAAAGATCTGGGAACCGTTTTGCTTTATCTTAACCTAAGAATAAGGAATATAGCTGTATGAAAGGAGTGCAAAAGTAAAGCTTAAAACTGTAATAAAACCGAAGTTCGATAAACCTTTCAGGCTTCAAAAAAAGATGTCTTTAAACTTCATACCTTTCTCCGATACCAGCAAGAATTTTTTAATTTTAATTTAGTTTAAGAAGGGGAGTAAAGAAGCTGCGTTAATCTCAATTTTTTTAAAGTTCCTGGCATGTGATGTAGGACGTCACGTGAAAGTGGCAGGCGACATCTATAAAATTAGTATTTTAAAATTTTATTTTAACCTAACAAAAAGCTTGTTTTTGGTCTGTAAGGCCGTCTCTGTAACGTAACGGTTTGTATCAGTCCACAACAAAAAACAGGTAGTTAGGGTGGTTTACTTGCAAAAGGCCTTTTCGCAAACTTTAAACCCATTAACTGGATCACCAGCTGATGTACTTTGTCTTTTTTCAATCGTGTCCAATTAAGAAAGATAAAAAACAAACAGTTGGTGATCGGATTAATGGGAATAATCGGATCTGGATCAGCGTTTCTGAAAAAGCCTAATGTTTTCAAAATTTTATGCTATATCTAGTGAAGAAGATCCAAACCCTCTCAACGCACCAAGCAGGTTCCGAGATCACGAGAGCATTGAAAGAGTTTGAATCTTCTCCGCCAGATGGAAGCATAAAAATTTTAAAGCATCCCTAACAACCTATTTCACACAAATAACTTGGAGTTTCATGAAGGTTTTATAGTGCGTGAAGGTATATATGTGATTTAAATTTGAAAATATTTTTCTGTTTCTTTTCCTCTGCCAAATGCGAGGTCTTGCGACCTAAAACACTTTGTATTATGTGACCAAACTTGCCCCTGATGATTAGCTTCTCTACCTTCGAAATATATAGGGCTCTTTAACTTGATTAAAACATTTTATGGAGGAAGACTTTGTGTTTTCTTCTGGAAATAATTCTAAATGTTTGTGATTGATTGAATAAATATGAAAGCAGTAGGTACCTATCCAGTATTTGTGTACAATTTATTTTTATCTATGTACCAATACAAGCCCTCTGAGACACAGGCTCCATACTTTCATCTAATCAGGGCAACTTTCCAACTCTTGCACGCCTGAAACAAATAAAGTTAGAGTCCGCGTCAGCAGTAAAGACTACGGTGACGACACAGAAAGCTGCGCGAAGCGGGTCGGATCTCTCTCCCTCGTCTATCTCTCGCTGTCTGCCGTGACCTCGACCGTGAGCTGAAACCAGCAGCGGGGTATCTTTTTAGACAAAACTTGGATACAAAATAAACTAAATAAATATACCTGCTGGCCGTACGACAATGAACCACGTGCTTGGCGTTCGGCAGCAGCACCGATCGATACGATAGTTCGGTTAGTCTTCAAAATTGGATTTGTGCGCAATTGACGTCACCGTACTCTTTTCTCTTGACGCGGACTCTAACACACTGATAAATACTGAGTGAAGAAATAAGTGGTATAGAATTATTCTTACATAGTTATATTCAGGTAATTTAAGGATCTCCGCATCATCCTTTGCTTCTTCTTCAATTTCTTCGACGGACATTTTATTACAGCTGTTCTCGTAGTTCAGGCACATATGAGATCATTTAAGGCCTATACTTTTATTTATTTTTGTGTTCAAAATATGTTTCTAAATAGGTACTTACTGCTTTTATATGTATTCAATAAGTCAAATATTTAGAATTGAGTAACTTTATTTGTTTCAAGCGTGCAAGAACTGGAAGGTTGCCGTGAGGAAAATATAGAGCCCGTGCCTAAGAGGGGTCGTATTGGTACATACATATGAAAAAATTGGACAGAAATTCTCAATAGGTAGCTTTCATATTTATTCAATAAATTGAAAACATTTAGAATTAAGTCAATAATTATTTGTTTCAGTACGTAGAAGAACTGAAAGGCTGCCTTGGAGAAATCATAGAAGCTGTGTCTGAGAGAGCAATTTACGTCTTTTATCAGCATATAGAATAATATTTAACTTCATGAAATAAAAAATATAAATTAATTTTTGTTGGCTATTTTCCAAAAATTACTGATCCTCGATGTTTCAACACTACTTTGCAAGTAAACCATACGACGTTCAAAAAATATTAGCGGAGGTGAATTGTAGATAATTGTCTCTTCTTTATTTTACTACAGAACCACTTTTTGCGTTTCTAGCTTGCTTTGCCAGTTATAGGCTGAAAACCAATAAAAAACATTATTTTCAGTGATTTTTCAATAATTTTTCATATTTGCCGTGAAAATGTTTGTTGGACAACTTCAATTTCATGATCAGCACCCCAAAAAACATAAAAAAGGTAAACTACTAAAAAAAATTACACTAAAACTTTCCAATTAGAACGCTGCCTGTGTACCATTTGACTGAATTATACGTCTGACAACAACAAACAACGCAAGAAATTTTCACACAATATCAGGGGGGCTAAAAATAACAACTCCCAATAGCATGTATAACATTTCCTAGTCTAGTGAGTGAACTACAAACTCAACCTGAATCGCCAACTTGCCAACAAGAAACTGATAATGATAAGGAAGGATTAAGTCGTAAAACAACTATGTTTATAGATCAAATTGTCGATGTCGGAAAGTGCTAACCAGTTCTAGAGGTTCCAGGCAAAAAAATGCATAATATAACGTACTTATTTGCTGATGATATCCTTGATTGAATTGCAAATATCGTAAAAGTACTTCCAAATTCAAAATATGATCGAAAAAGAATTGGAACGACAATTATATTACCCTGAAATTTGATGGGTATAACATTTCTGACAATGGTGTTCCGCCTTTCTCTAACCTCATTGTTACCAATCTTTCTCATATAAACCTTGTTTGCAATGCCCTTCCATTGAAACTCTTTCTCAAGTGCCAACCATAATATATGGCGAGATGTTGGTTTATCTTTTATGTACTCAGTTAGCGACGCACTGTACAATAATGTTTTTATTTTTTGATGCGGTTTCTTGACTGTTTTTTTTTGAAATAGTGGAGGTTTTATTGGGAGTTAGTCAGGTTGAAAAATGAAACAATTTTTTTTTTTACGTTTCGGAATTTTTCTTTAATTCCATCTTCAGAATTTGCGAAGGCAAAACTGCACAAACGCCACAAATGTTTTTACATTTTGAAACTTTTAAAATATTTTTTTTTGTATAATGACGAAGACCATGTTACATTAAATGTCAAAGTTAATAGACAGGACTAGAAACCGAAAGAATTAGGTTCCAGAAGCAAATCGTGTTACTTTTGAGGTAAACGTATTTCTCAGGTCATTTAGTCTTGCAGAATCCAAAAATGCTTTTTATCAATTCGAAATCGTAACCGGATGTGAGATATTCGAGATGGCGGCCAGAAACTTGGAATTAACTTATTTTTCGCCTTCAGACCTATCAACTTGATTAGGGCATCAAATTATATGTTCCTTAGGGCGAAAAATACACATAAACTCGACAAAGCATTTTTATTATTTTTGTGGGCAAACATTAGTAAATAATATTGTCGCTATGCGTATTTAAACATAGAGCCTGGCATTTGCAGATCTTCATGCACGGTTCAGAACCCTTTCTGCACCGGCACTGGTTAGTTTGGCACATCTCTTTGCAACCACGTGCACGAAGGGCATTCCCTGAGGTCGGAACCCGTTAGTTTTCCAGCCGCAGTTCTCCGGAGAGGGAACAGGTCTCGCGACATGGGCACATTCCCAAAAGCACACCTGCAAAAGGTTGAAATTGGCGATTCGAGTGCCATTTTCACAATAGACCTAGTAATAACATCTTTGAATATGCAGGCGTAGAGCATCTGAAGCTGGATTGGGGGCAAATTTTCAGCTTTCTTGACGGCTCCAAACAAAACACTTCGAGCAGCGTCTCATATTTTTAATGTCTGAACTAACCCATGGATGACGATAAGATATAGTGTTGAAAAAACTATCGAAAATAGGATAAATATTTTGTTACCAATATGTTCCTTATATAGTTGAACTACAAAAGCCTTTACGTTTGCAATGACTTGATCTGTCAGAGGAATTGATCCAAGACCTGTTAGAAGGAAGCAGGAATCTCCTCTAAATAATTTCCACGCATACCCGTCTTTCTTATGGAAGATATATTTTTTCTATATTTCGATGCGCTTTTTGAAAAAGTCTATCAAATAAATTCGAACTTTTGGTAATTGCAAATGGGCTCATCTCCTGCAGCTTTATTGAATTCTTCAGCTTCATCAAAATGATCTTCTTCTAGCTTGCTCCATATCTGTGGGTACAATATTTTCCACAATGCTTGAAAGATAAGTTTGTGTGCTCTTATTGCCTTAGCGTAAGCTTTTCCATCTAAAATCTTTCTCCGCAAGCAATCCACTTTCATACCACAACTCTGCCAGGCCACTTCTATTCATATGTTGACCTATAGCTTGCAAAAAAATTATAGATATATGCACTCCACCTATTCTCAAAATTATACGCTCCTTGTAAATATCTGAGGCTGCCTGTAGCTCAACAAGCTTACGATACAGAGCCTAATCCGTAGTCAGTACAATGTATTTTCCTGCAAGACTATCTGCTACTGCTATGCATCTCTGGAGGACGGTACTCATCGTCAAGATTCGTCAATTCATGTGCCGGATTCAGAATAATTGGCACGAGTCCAACAGCAGATTAATCAATTGGCACTGTTGTATTTTTCACGTTCAATTTCGTCCATCCAATGTTCTCTTTGCCGACACCTCTTGACATTGCAAAAGTCTTCCAATTTTTAATTCAAAAGCGCATTTTGTGCTTCAGGAAAATCAGACGGATCAGACAATTGGAAGCAGCTAACATTCACAGGTTTGGCAAAGTAAGGTTCGTGTTGGGCAGATGATTTTACGACGCAAAGTTGATTTAACTCAGGAGGAATTTGAAGGGCCGTAGCTTCGGAGAGTCCATTTTTACGCAGCATGCAAATAATGTCATTCCCATGTCTCTGAGAGGCTACCATCAGTGTTGCGTGGAAATTTACTTTTCCATCGAGAGTAGCTGTTAAGATATCTATGCTATCTGTTTTAATATGTAAAATACTACTTCTATAATCATTTGAGGTTGTAGAGGGTTCAAGATTAGAAGGAACAACTGCACCACTTGCTTTATCAAATCCTTGAAGGCTAAGATTTTTCAGAGAAGTATTAGCTTGTAGGATATTATTGTAGCTCATTGTATGCCCAGCAGCAAGGAACAGGTTTGCCAACTTTTTGCTTCTTGCGGCCTGATGAAGAGTAAGACTGAGTCCAATATGTTTGGGGTAAGTTGTTCCTTGCTAACATCATACACAATATCTTGGTCGATTGAAAGAATAACGTCACTAAACAAAACATCTACTGGTGAGTTGGATTCTTCCTCTGAGTCATCATCATGATCATTAGGGCACAAATCAGGTAGAGTAACGAGAATATCCTCAACTTTAATCAGGATACTCAAAAATGAGTGTATTAGATATGGTACGCCTTTGATACATGCATCTCTAGAAACCTCGAGTGTCGAGTGGTCTGCTGGCCATTTTTGACAGGACGTTGGATTGCCTAATAGCATAGAGTAAGATTATATGGAGGAACAAGTACGTTTGAAAAACGAACTACCGAAAGCGGCGGAGGTTGGAGCTTCCGCGTCCCGCCACCCAGGTGGCGTTTGATCGCTATGCAGGGCAGCGCTAACTATTATGTGGAAGTTGCTATTCTCTGGCTGGAATTTGAATCGCCTCCTCACTGCATTTTTCGACATAAGGCAACAGCTTATTTTTGTTGATAGGTATAAGTAACATTTGCAAATTCGTCTAATTACCTCTTAAGTTTCAATTGCTACTCACATGAACTAATCCACAATTCACACAATGTCAAATTCAAATTTAAGATCCACAAAATACAAGTACACGGCAATATCCAGCGGTATAACTGATGCATGCACTTGCACGTTGCGCTGCGTGTAGAAAAAGGTTTGACCTGCTTCTGCGCCTACTGGCTAGCAAATACGCTAAAACTTCAATATTATACAGCGGCGTACCCATAAGACATGCCCGTAGGGTGGGGGGGGGGGGATGATGAGTTACATAGTTTTTGACATATTATATGTTGTATTATATATCATTAAATCTCTCTTACCATGAAATTATGGAAAAATATTTTAAGTTCTGGGGTAGGGTATCATAGCTCCTGCTTAGTGCGCCACTGGACCAAATGTATATAGGATTGATGATTTTACCGACGTCAAAAGCTTTTTTCATAGGTATTTCTTTGCTCTCAAAAATATATAAGTGTATTTCTGATCACGCTCATGCGACTTAACTATAGAAAACATGTGGCTTCGCAGTTTTCGGCCGCCATCTTGAATATCTCGTTTCCGGTTGAAATATCGACTTGGTAACAGGCATTTTCAGATTCAGCGGGGACAAATTAGCTGGGAAACACCATTAGCCAAAAAGTAACACGATTTGCTTCTTGACTCATAACGGAAAGTTTTTTTCTCAAATATAGTCTTGATTATTAACTTATACAACAAAAAAATTCGAAAACATGGTTTCCTCTTCAAAAACAAAACACATGTAGAATTAGTTTGCGCTTATTCTGTGTGAAAAGTAGTACTGAAAAGTTTTTTCACTTTCTTTTCAGTACTACTTTTGACACAGAATAAGCGCCAACTAATTCTACATGTGTTTTGTTTTTGAAAAGGAAACCAAGTTTTCGAATTTTTTTGTTGTTTAAGTTAACTCTGTTTGTCATTTAATATTTAATCGTCTTCGTCATTATACAAAAAAATATTTTACAAGTTTCAAAATGTAAAAACATCTGTGGTGTTTGTACAGTTTTGACTTTGCAATTTCTGAAGATGGAATTAAAGAAAAATTCTGAAAATGTTTTTATATTTCTTGTCTAGCTTTACCTCGTCTTGTGAATTTTGATTTGTGACCCGTTCCACACAAATTTAAACCCCATTGTGATCAAGAACAGTT